GGGCAACAGTGGAAGGCCAGTTCCCCCCCAGGTTGGACACGGTGTTGAGGAGCGTCATGTAGGTCCCCCCGATCAGTGGGTCGCTGACCTTGGCGTTGAAGGCCATGATGGCCACGTACATGCTGTACAGAGTGATCTGCAGGGGAACCACAGCAGGGTGAGGAGCCCCACAGACACTCACACCACCCATCCTAAAATAAATCCACAAACTGCTCTGCCAGACTCCTTGGAGTCACCAGGGTTTGACTGAGAATAATCCCAACAGGTGAAAATTGCGCAAGAGAAATCACTTCTCTCTATTCACACCAAGGAGCAGCCTCACCACTTGTCTCCAGTCTGAACTGGACCCAGCCTCACAGGAACTGGAATGACTCAGGTTATCAAAATGAAGTATGAGAAGACTAGCTGAAACAGCATACTAAAACAACACTCTTGCATTTAAAATCAACTCTAAAATTAGCCTGGGCTGGTGGGAGGTGTCCCTGCCCATGCAGGGGGGTCTGAACTAGATGGTCTTTAAGGTCCCTTCCAACCCAATCATTCCATGATTCTAAAGGCACTGCATTAGTTTCAGTTCTGGTCCAAAGCCCAGTCTGCATCAGGCATTTGTTTTCTAAGCCCTTGGATCAGACCCATTATGATGTTCCTCCAGAATCATGAAGGTATTTTCGCTAGGACTGGGATCACATAACTTTCTGGGTCTGCACAATAAGTACCATCATCATCATCATCATCACCCCTATGAAACTCAGTCAGAATTTTGGAATTTCTCCAACTCCACCACGCTTTTATGTTCCTGGTTTTGGGGGAAAAGAAGCCAGGAAACAAAAGCAGATCTGGTCAACTAGAAGAAACACCGTGGAGCACATGGAAGAGGGAGAAATAGTATGGGCAAGAGTATCAAAACTAAATACAGCCACAGAGCACAGAGGGCAGACTCAGGCCCACTGTAGTGTGACTAAGAACAAAAGCAGATAATGGCATCTACAGCCTTCTGGTGCCCCCTCTCCTTCCAGCCACAGGGATGTTACCTGATGTAGAGCATAACTCAGCAATACTACAGCATAGTAGTAGAAAGGAAATCCTCCTTCGTGTTTGACTTTAGGGGTCCACCATACCAAAAAAGCAAATTCCAGACCAAGCAGCAACCTGGAGGAATCACAGAGATGATTTGTAACTCAAGTAATTCTCCCCTTGTGTTTCCTTGGTGCAAAACAACTATTGAACATTTATACACACATAATACATTAAAATAGTTTATAAATAAATAGTTACAACTATTTCTATCTTAGACAGAAGCAGGTATTAAATATTTGGCAAGCACTAAAACTGTAAACTTTTCATACCTAACCAATTCTGTTTCCCATATAAACATACCTCACTGCCAGATCTCCTACACCACTGTTCTCCCGAACCAATTCTGTTTCCCATATAAACATACCTCCCTGCCCCTTTACACACCAATTTATCCCTGGAGAAAGCAAAGCATGAAGTACCTAATTCAATTCAGACCCAGCAATACCTACACTTCTTTTGTTTGTTTTTGGCCAAAATGTACATCATTGCACAAGAACAAGGTAAAGTACCAGCAACCTGTTTCAGCTGCATGATTTACTGAGTGATAACACTAAGTAACTGCTGGATTCACTGGATTCAGAAATTCACATGCAAACTCCTAGAGAAAACACAAATTAAACAACTCCTTGTTCTGTATCAGCCTCACTCAGCCTCTTTCACTCTGTTGGCTCAGCAAAGCACCATCCAGTAGAGGCTCCCCAGGAGCTGTCAGTGTGTTCTGCCACTCTGACACCAGGAATCACCAGTCATGTCACAGATCCAGCCCTGGAGCAGCCAGAGTGACCCATAAATAGCAACTATGGACACTGGAGCAGAAGGACTCTGCTCTGATGCTGTTGTACATGCATCTTAAAACCCCTCCACGTTCTGCCTTCTTCCATGTGTTGCTACATGAATCATCTCCAAGGCACAAGACACAGGGTGCAACTTACTATAAGAATTCTGACATGATTCCTTGAATCTGGAAATTAAGATTTACATTAGAAATCTGAATATGCAGATAATTGTTTCTGTCAAAAAAGATTTGTTTGTTTTTACCTAAAAGGCATAGCTTTGTAAAATGTGTTGAGAGGCTGAGGGCCTGCCGTGTACTTGCTGATAATCAGAGGCA